AAGAAGGATTAATATAAGTCTTTCCCCCAGAATTTTAAAAATTTTATAGGTATTAATAAAAGACTAAAATTGCTCTATTCATGCAGACTGCTTTATATCATGCAGACTATTTGCTTAAGTTTTTTGTATTTTTCTTTCATAGAATATTACATAATTACATTTTTATATTTGCACTTTAGTAGTCAAATGCCTTTGACGATAGAATTACTCAATAGATCGGTTTAGCTCATTAGCTGGGATACATGTATACATTTCCCAATTATTTACTTTGAAAAAATATTTTAATAATTTCATAAATATAGTTTAAACCAGGGTTCGGATCGAGAAAATATTAAGTGTAAGTACAAAAAGTTCAATTTGGAAGTACATAGGGGGAAAAATTTTCAAAATATAAGTACGCTACAAAAAAATTTTTCAAGACTTTTTTTGGCGCCGCTGGCTCCAAATAGTAGTCTTCCATTTATTGCGCCGCAGGCGAAAATTTTGAGAATTTTAAGGTTAAATTTAATTTTTTAACCAAGAAGTCTATTTGTAAGTACATACTTACAAATAAGTACATTTTTAATTTTGGAAGTACAAGGGTCGATTTGTAAGTACTGTACTTCCAAAATGAGTACGAATCCGAACCCTGGTTTAAACCTCATTTAAACAACAGGTAATGGAAACCTGCCAAAAACATTAATTATAAAAATTTAACAAATTTACCTTTCATTATTTTATAGTTTAATATTAAAATATAATTATTAAAATAAAATCTGATTTGATTGTAAAAATTTATGACTATTTATTTTAACCTTCCATATAAGGCATACAAGGAAACCCGTCTCGATGAGCTCTTTCGAATGAGCTATTATTTTTTATATTCAAATTTTGCATTTCCTAAAAATCTAACCGTACTAATAACTACCAAGGCACAGAAAACAGAGCTTCCTATTAAATCTCTAAAGTCGCTGTAACATTAATTTTTATAATTAATCTTTAGTTTACATTAAATTAAGAAATTTGATTAACGAATAACTATATTTTTAATATTAAAATAAAGTTAGTATTGATTCAAATTAATAAACTCATTACATATTTTATTTAATCCATCAATGTTTACTTTTGTGGTTAAGTTGGTAGTGTTCTTGACTTATATATTTGAGCCTTCTCAATGAGGAGCATCATACCACTTTTGACTAATTGCTGATATAAATTACTGTATTAGCTCTATCTGAGAGAAGGCTTTTTTGTAATTTTTTAAACTCAAAAAAGTTAATCTCTTATATTTGGGTTTAGAAATAAAAATAGAGGGTATGTCTCAAGATCACTCTAGTTGAATCATACCAGCACGGCTAGAGGATCTTACCAGCACGGCTAGACCTCTTTCTGATTTAACCCAAGATTCCACCTTAGCCTACAGAGACAATCAGGGCTGCACGCAACTCGCAATTAGTTTTTAAAAATCCGCAAACGCAATCCGCAATTTCGTGCAACTGACGCCAATGTTTATTCTATAATTTGGATAAACTGTTGGGATATCTAGGAGAGATAATAAACATATACTCTCATATATTTTTCAATTTATTTTAGTCTTTAAGCTTAAATACAAATTAAAAATTAAATCAGTAATATGTCTATTTACACAAATCAAAATAAATAAATAAATATAGTAAATCTTTCTTCAAAAAAAAATATTTTTTAAGTGATGAGCATCTTTTTTTATTTTCCTTTAAAACATCTGGGCATTTATATATCTGTTGTTTTATTTTTTAAAATATTTTTAAAGCTTCTAAACTTCTACTTTCAATAAAGTTGTAGTTTCATAAGGAGGTGGGGGTTGCTGTTGAATTAATTTTTCTTCCTTTTTCTTTTTATTTTCTTCCTCAATTTCATCCTCTTCCTTCTGCCACCATTCAATATAATCAAAAAATGAGTGGAACGAATCTATTGCCAATAAGAAGGAACCATTCTCGATTTTTTGTATAATTCCTCGAAATCTTGGAGAAACGTATTCCCATTTTGGAGAATTGTTTTCTGTTGATTTTGAAGTATTGGTTTGTGTTGTTGTTCTAGACCAAGGATTTCTAATTTTTATTAAATAATTGTTTCTCCTTCGATCCTTAAAATTTTGAGATTATTTTAAAAATAGGCGTAGGAATTGATATTAAGAGGATCGGGATCTGTTTCATCTCCTGGACGGATATTGGACATCTTTCAGGGAAAATTGAAAATGGAATTCTCTATCATTCATGTCCCCTCGGTTTTCTTCAATTTTCTGCTCCACTTTTCCCTAACAATGTTTATTAAAATCTCGATATGTATCTGCAGATTAGGAAGAAACCTTTATTATACCCAGATTTCATTCTTAAAGAGAGCCTATAAGGAGACGAACCATAGTGTTCAGTTTTTTCCTCCACAATGATACCGGAACAGTTTTTGGAATTTTCGTTACCGGTAATATTGGTACAGAAAAAATCCATTTGTCTAGAGAGAGAGTTGAGACTAGCCTAAACCTTATATTAAAAATCAACTACATACTTCAATAAAGTCAAGAATTGTGAATGAACGCATGGCTAAAACTCCTCTTCCTGTATGGCCCTTCTTTTTTCAATAAATCCATTCTATACAAAAAATACAAAATTTTATTTCAAAAAAAAACTTTAAATTACCGTTACTGTACAACAAAATCTACACAATCTAATGTCTGTTATTCTTGTAGAAAATAGGCGAATTAATTGAGATCGAGTAATATCTCTTAACATGTATAATCTTATAGTGCCTGGGCCAGTTAGAATCCTCAAGGCTCGATAGAAATGATTTGTATTTTCTAATGCTGCATAAGAACCATATAATCTTTAAAAAATAAAATTTTAAATAGTCAGATTTGTGGACAGATTTTGCGGAAACTAATTAATTTAAAAAATAAGTTTGCGACTTTTGAGGATACGAATATTAAGGATAATTTGGGGTAACCTAATCATAAGATTTATGCTTGATATCCTCAAAAACATGGTCCTCAAAAATGTCGGGTAGCATTTTAAAATAAGGCTGAATCCAGCTATAATCGTATATCAAGGAATGGATTAAGAGGAATATAAGCGTTATAGCTTTATATCCCGTTAAATTTCTTAGGAAAACATCCGATAGGGAATGTACGGTTAGTTCGCTGAAGCCTAAAATACCAAAAAGAAAAGCAAGTTTCCGGATAGCAGTTACACCCGCAAACATGACCCTAATCCGAACGGTTTTCTGGATTGATACAGCCCTAAAAACTGACATTTTACAAATACCTATTTCAGAAGTTTTTATATTTTTAAAAATTTCTTTTGGAAATTTCTAAGTAAAACCCGCAAGAATCAGGTGTGTTATTATTTTAATATTCGAAAGGAGGCCCATAATTAATTAAATTTACTTTGCAAATGCTTTTTCTAATAAAGCAGCCCAAAATGATAATCCATCAGATGAATGCATAAATAAAAGTTGACCATTTTTTGTAGGTAAAAGATCATCAACGATGACTTCCCTTGTTGTTTCTTTGATAGTAAAATTGAAGGCAAATTTTCCTAAAAAATAATTAGAGAATATTTTTCTATTAAAAATTTTCCAAAAATGTTCTTCAAAGAAATCAAATTTTAATTTTTTATAAATTTTGGGACCGTGAATGTCCCCCTTAACAGATAAAATTATACTAGGAAATTGTCTTGACTTAGACATGAAAAATCACTGATTAAAGTTGCCATAGACAATTTTTGATATAACAGAAGTTTCCGTTTATTTTTCACTCACTAGCGAGGGGTATTTAAAAGAGGTCATACTGTAATTCGATAAATGAGAGAATTTACAGCCCCTATAGTTATTTTGAACTTACACCAAGAATGACCAATCACTTAGTCTCTAAAGGATTGAAAAATATTTTTGTTGCCTTTGTCGGATATTGCCTCAGGCATTAATAAATTTTTAAATTGCCTGAGGCAATATTTTACCAAAAATTTTTTAAATAATTTAATGTCGAAAACCTGTATAATTTTCATCATTTAATTTATTATTTAAAGTAGGGTCAATAACTGCATTAAAATGTTCTTCTGATTGAATCAGCGCTAAAAGCGCGGCCGCCAACCAACAATCGCGTAATTGGCCTTGGACTATATCTTTTAATTGGAAGGCTGAATTGTCTGTCTGGTTACGAATAAAACAGGCATTACTATTAATTTCCTTTAAAAAATTGTATTTTTTGAAATTTTAAAGGTAAAATTAATTATTTACCCAAGGACGTTTCCATATTATTCCTTTAGGAGAGGGTAGATCAGACTCCCTCTCCTCGCAATATATGCTCTGCCAGATTGCAGGAAATTCTATTTTTTAAAGAAAGAAAATTTGATTTTTAATTGAATGTTGAAAAATATTTTTAATTTTTAAAAATGGAAAAATGAAAATCCGCAAATATTTTGCGGACATTATTTGCGGACTTTTTCTCCAATAAATAAATTTTCCTCTAATAATTATTGAGATGTCAAAATATTTTAGAAATTATAAGATTTTTTTAATGGAACAATCCGGAAAAATAAAAAAATCCTCAAAATTTGACAAAATTCGAAAATTAAAAATACTCCAAAAAAGATACGGAACGGAAAAATCAGCACAATTTTAAAAAATCCGCAAAAATTAAAAAGTACGCAAAATACAAAAGAAATTTGCAAAAACAAATAAAAAATATTTTCAAAAATTAAATTAAGAAATAAATAAATTTTTAAAAAATTATTTAGATTTACCTGGATCTTCAAAAAGCATTTGCTGTTTAGATTGAGTATCCGGGTTCATTTTTGTTACTAAACAGAAAATTCTTTTCAAAATAATTTTTTCAAAATAATTTTTTTATTAATTTTTAAGAGTTAAAAAACTTTTTTTATAATGAAATAAATATTACAAAATCCAATAAATAAATTACAAAATTTATACTTTTCCCCCCAAATTTATTTATTTGCTTATTCATTAGCTCCCCCCCCCCCCCCTAAAGATGATTACTCACCTTTATGTTGTTCAATTAAATTTTCTTTCGCCGTGCTAGGCATTTTATTATTAAAATTATTATTATTATTGACTTTATTTGTAGTTTTATTAAATGTAGTAGCTATAACTGTTCCCCAACTTTTTTGTGTTTGTATTAAGCCTTTATTTGTTCGCCTCGAAAATAGGCGGTGGTAGGAAGCAAAAAAGAGAAAAATCAAAGAAACGACAACAATGTCCAAAAGGAGCGCAATCATAATATTTTTATTTTATATTTTGCCCCGTCTATAAAAATTTTTGAGGGAGCTTATTTCGTAAAAGATGAAAAATGTGTATGTGAGGAAATGTTAAAAGAGGGAGGGAGGGAGAGGTTATTGTTGGGGTGACTCAACTTGGAAAAAAAAAATATAGAAAAATATATAATTTATGTGAAAAAATGTGTGGGGGAGAGGAATGAGGGAGGAACTGAGAATGAGGGAGAACTTGAGGGAATATTATGAGGGGAATTGAGGGAGAGAACTGGGGGAGGGCGAGGAATTGAGGAGGGAGAACTGAGGAAAATAAGGGGGAACTGGGGAGAACTGTGGGGAAACTGAGGGAGGACTTGAGGAAAATAAGGGGAACTGGGGGGAACTGGGGGAGGAACTGGGAGAATTGAGAGAGAAACTGAGAGGAATTGAAGAAAATAACTGAGGAACCAAGGAAATTTTTTTCTGTTTTTTAGTAACGCCGTCAATGTGGCTTTTTACCTTATTTTTTTACAATTTTTGAGGGAAGGGAAGAATTTGAAGAGGAAGAAAGGAAGATGAATTTAATGCAAAGGTAGGGAAAATAGTTGAATAAGATGAATAAAATAAGACGCCAAAGCAGCAGGAGGCATTTCTCTCAACCCCAAAAACTATTTTTGCTAATAGAAATATAGGGGGTTAGAACGGCAAGAGAAAAAATTTTTTGAAAAAATAATATATTGGAATTAGCTTGGAAAAGAGCAAAAACAAGAAGAATTTAATTTGTAAAAATTCAAAGATCAGAAAAAAATAAATTTAAAAAATTTTAAAGCATGGAAAAATGATTCATCAATCATCTTTGTATTTTTCTGCTATTTGTTTGATTCTGCCATTGAAAAAAAGTTAAAAAGCAAAATGGAGAGGGTAATTATTTTACACAGGGTAATTATTTTCCGACCTATTGATGGAGGGAGTCTTGAAGCCTCGAGTTTCAATTTAATTATATTCGAGTTAAATCTTATCAAAGAGAATTCCTAAAATGGTTGGAACCGATATCCGAACCGAAAGTTCCGGATTTCTATAATTTTCGTGATAGATATATTTTACTGATCCTCAACCCTAATCCGAAGATGGAAAATTTTTTGAAAGTCTTCCACCCGTCCAAAAATTGTCTGAAAAAATTTTTGTCTTAAATTTTGAATCTCTCTCCCTTGTAAATCAAGATTTGTAAAATTAAATTAAAAATATTCTCATTTTTTGATCAAGAGATAATTAAAAGCCTTTTGACTAATTTTCAAAATATTAGGACATAATTTAAAATTTAAAATAAGCCTTTAAAAATATTCAAAAAAGCGTTCTGAATAGATTAATTAATTAATTTATCGATGAGAAGCATATGTCAAAAATAAATCTTCTAATGAGCAGGAGAGTCGCCACTATTCACTCGACAAATATTTGTGAGGGCTTTCAGTAAGCAAAAACAAGAAAAATATTAATGTGCAAGAGAGCAGAAGAATTTAGTGTAAATAAAAAGTAAAAAAATATTTTAAAGAGCAAACAGCACTGACCATTTGCAGGTAGGGATTGGGGGTATTCAACACAGAAAAAACCATCAAAATAATTTTAAAACTTTTTTAGAGCTTAAGTAAAAAACAAGAGTAACATACATATAAGATAAGATAACCATGGATCTAGTCGTCATGATTCCCGAAAATCGGGAATTTTCTCGGTACTTATCGGTTATATGAACGCTCACAAACTGAGTATCATCCGACATTGATTGGATATAACCTTTTTGAGCATGATACAATTCAAATAAATCATATGTGATTCGAAAGCCCTCGATAAGCGGTACTTTTTTCTATAGGATAGCTCAAGTCCGATCACTCATTTAGATGGTATAAAAAATCCAGTTATTTGGTGTTTTTCAAATTTATCGGGTTATAACTTTTTAACGAGTGATAAGACTTTGCTAGATTACTAGATCACCTCTATTTAAGATACGTTCCTAAAATTTAGGCAGGGCACTTACACTCTTCATTATAAGGCACAAGTTAAGCCTAAAGGAGGTGGGAGTCTTACAAGGAGATTAGATTGTATTAACTTTAACGATGAACGATTTTAATTAATTTATTAATTGATGAAGATAAAATAAATTAAAAGCAATTGAAAGTCTTTAAGATGAATAAAATTATAAAAAAAAGTTTAAAGTGGATAAAGTGGACAAAAAGATGAGCAAGTATGTAAACAACGAATAAAATGATGAAAAATTCGATAAAAAGTAAATAAAGCGTTAAATATTAAGAAAAAAATTAAAGAAAAAAGAAAATGTGAAAAATTATTTGCGTATTATCCGCAAAATATTTGCGGACAAAATTGAAACCGGATGGAATTGAGACAAATAGCCACTGGAATATCTCAAGTGCCGTCTCATTATCATTTTTGAGTGTACAGGGTGACATAAAAGAAACTGCACACCATATTTTTGAAATATCTTTCTTCAAATTGAAGATAATGAGATCAAATAAGGCTTAAATAATAAAGAAATGTCCGGAGAGATATTATAATTAAGAAATTTCGAAATACCCACACTGTGCTCGGATAAAGAGTTCAAGGCGCTTGGAAAAATTTTGGGCAAAAGTTCGCACCTACATGGTTGGGTTCGCACCTACACTTTTTGCGGATATTTGAGGGAAATATCGTGGGTTGCGATGATGTCTGAAAATTGATTTGGGATACCCCAAAAGTACCTAAATATCTTTGATTTATTTCACAATATACTAGAAAGCTTAGTGGCTTACACCATACATATGTCAGTCCGCAAATAGGCTACCGAATAATTAATATTTTTTATGTTAAAAGCATTAACTAACTATTCGTATTAACTATTAAGCTATACGTGTAATTACATTAAACATATTTTCATTTAACTGTAATTTTTTTTATTTTTGCATGTAGATAATAAATAAAGATAAAAATTAATTTAATAAACTGTCAGTAAAATAAAAGGCTTTAAAAAATGATAAAACATCTGGGGAAGCATTTTTATAAATTTAATTGAAGAAATTTGCTTTATTTCAAAAAACAGTAAATTTAAAACAATACAAACTCTCACAAACTTTATTAGAAGAACAAAATGAACAATAAAAATTTTTTTTAAATTAATTTACAAAATATTTTCAATGTAAATAAAAAAGATAAATAAAAATAATGTACAAAATCGCCAAATAAAATTTCAATAATAATTAGAGAGCGGGCTGGATCAAGGTAAAGGTTTATTGAAAAATCCAGACCTTGATTTTTTCTGGATACAGAGTCCAGATCAAGGCATTTTTTCAGCGTTCCTTGATTTTTTCTTAACTCAAGGTCAAGAATCTGGTCAAGGTCCTTATTTAAAATCAAAGTCAAGGATCAAGGTAAAGGTTTATTGAAAATCCCGCGCTCTAATAATAATTGTCAATAACTTCCCGAAAAATAAATTTATTCATTCATTAGCAGTTTGTCGCCTAATTAATTGTTGCCGGAAGAATTGAACATTTTTCTTATCCTTTTTTCGCTCATAAATTCTATCAACTTCTTTTTTGGCTCCATTAATTAAATGTTTAGAATCTTCCAAATAATCCAAAAATAATAAAAAGGAGTCTGGTCTATTATAATAGACAGAATCTGTGAAGACTCTGAAAAATTGTTTTTATGTGTTATTATCGTTATATCCGAATTTTAGTTAATTTTTGGGGCTGAAAAATTACTAGCTTATAATCGGGTTCAGCTTAAATACATGGTAATAATTAGGAAGCTTACTTTGGCCAATGGGCAACAGGATTAAATAGAATATAAGGGTTAGACACAAGCGATTAACCTCAACGGACCGGTAACCGAAGCCGGGAATCAGGGGTCGGAACTCAGTGATAACCGAAAATCGGAGGGTACTTGTTCAACCCTAGAAAGCAAGCTAAATCGAGATGTATCCAATATTGGGTATGCATAAGATTGAGGTTCTCTACGGACTGCAACTTACAAATAATTAAATTATGAATTAATTTACCTAAAATTTTCTCTTGAAAGAATTATTTTCCTTAAAGGATCGCACCAATTTTCTAATAAACATTCAAGCTTTTTAAATCGTTCTAATCTTTCATCACGGCTAAGTCCTTCAACCTTAAATTTATTTAAGTTCAAAGCAATTTTTAAGACTAGAAAGCCGTCTCAAATATTTTATTAACGTTAATTTTGCAAGGCTCGACAATTTTTATTCCCAAAAATTCCGTCTCCGATATTTTTTAAATTTATTTTAACCGGCCCACGATATTGCCCTAGATTTATTATAGGAGTCAATCAAGGATGTAACGGGTTATCTGAAACCTGGTCAATTTTTCGTTCAAAATCCATATGCGATTTTTTTCTAATCATTTTTCTCTATTCCTTGAGTTAACTAATATAAAATTTAAATTTTATTTTAAATAATACATACATCCAATGTTTGATATGTTTTGTGATAAAAATTATTCCAACTCATTTGTGCCATTCCTTAAAGATTAATTTCAAAAAATAATATTTTTGATTAAATTTTTAACCTCTTTTATTTATCCGACAAAGCACTGTGCAGAGAAATCGAACCATTTCTGGATGTTGTAAATTAAAACAAACTTTTTTCCAACATAAAAAGCCTTAATATTAATTATTTTAATTGTAAAATCAGAATTTTGAATTAGAATAATTTTTTAAATCAGAACTCAAATGAGATCAGTTTATGGGAGATCAGAAATTTTATTCATTAAATGTCAGAAATTACAAAAATAAGAACTAGAAATCAGAATTATTATTTGAGACTGAATAAAATCAGAATTAATATAGCTAAAAGATTTAAAACAGAATTCACACTCAAAATTAAATAACAATTAGAAATAATGATAAAATATCAGAATTCAGTTGAAATTCAATAGTAATTTTAAAAATCAGAATTAATGAGAATTAAAATCAGAATTTTTAAAATCAGAATTATATTAAAATTAAAAATCAGAATTAATCAGAATTAAATATTAGAATTAAATTATAACAGAAATCAAATTAAAAATTCAGAACTAATTAAATCAGAATTCCAAAGTCATAATTATAATTTGCTTACCAATAGCTTCCATTTGCCCTTCACTTAATCCATCCCTTTAATTTTTAAATTAAAAATTAACTAATATTTAATTATCAACCATAATCTTTTAACTAGTTCAAGAAATCCATTATTAATTGCAAATTTAAAAGCAAGCATTAATCGCTGATCAACAATTAGTCGATCAGATCGGTACAGTTTAGTCCATTCCTGACGATCAGCAAGTACTCTAAGCCAGAAATGGTAGATTGGATGGTTGTGTAATTTTTTTCTATGATATTTAAAAAATAATTATTTTATATAAATAATTTTAAAATTAATTTTTAAATTTATTAGACAAATTAACCCTCCAAATTATATCCGATTTTAACTTTAAAAATCAGAATTTAGGGTCATAATCAGATTTCTCAATTTATAAATCAGAATTCCTAACAAGAAAAATCAGAATTTTAGTCCGAAAAGCAGTCTTCCGATTTTCATGAATCAGAAAAAATATCAGCATTGAGGGTAAGAGAATCAGAATTCTGATTTTAAAAACCAGAATTTCATTAAAGATCCAATAGTTTAAACCAACTTAAACGCCCTCCTCCTATTCTTATCAAAAATTCTCTCATCCTCCAATAATTCTTCCATAGCATAACAACAGGCGAATTGAAATTTTAATTGTGACCAATTTTTGCATTGACTTTCCACTATATTTTTGGCTGTCGCAAAATCATTAATTTTAATCCTTTTTTGAAAAAATTTCAACATTAATTTTTTAATATAGTAGGACCACACTATAAGATACACCCTTGGGCTGAAAATTTTGTCGCTTATATTGAGGTGTCTCTTAAATATTGCTTAAGCAGTTCTCTCTTGCAATGATCAACCAGTTCAAAGAAAGGGTCTCTTAAAACTGAGGTGATTTAAAATTGGGGGTATCTAATAATGAGATCCGTTAAATAAAAATAATTTTACATTGTCTTCTCCCAAATCAGACAATCATAAAATATGCGTAAATATTCTGATTTTTCTAAAATTCTCATTGCTGTCCTTTGTGGTTTATACAAAGATGTAGTATTTGTTTTGGAACAGTCTAAGCTTTGCGCTTTTTGACGCAAAGCTGCTTTTCTTATGGCAAGATTTTCTTCTTCTGGGAATATTTGTGTGTGTTTTTCTGCTATAAATTAATTTTTATTAAGTTTAATAAAAAAAGTGATTGACGGAGCATTTATAAACGTGAAAAGTAAACGGAAGCAACGTCTCTGTTGCGCCCATGAAATTTTTTTTACCCTCGACAAATAATCTTTAAATTAAACTTTTATCACCTATCTATAACAGGGATCTAGCCGACAAAAATAAATTCCCAATTTCTGGAAATCCCAAAAAAATTTTAATACACAATTTCAGGGAGGATAATGGTTTGGAAAGGAACAATAATCCATATCGTTTCGCTTACACAAATTTTTTGCTTCAAATAAAAACTATTTTTTTATCACAACCAGTTTTAGTATTCTGTAATCACTAATATTTTCCTAATAAAATATTATTATTAGAGGTCGGCAAAATCGCACTTTAGGGATCCCGAGTTGGGATTTTTCTTCTTAACCGATGCCGGGACGGGATCCCGAGGGATAAATCCCGAAAAAATCCCGGATCCCGAATGATCCTAAAATTCAAAAAAAAAATCCGGGATCGGGAACCCGGAAAATCCCGCCGGGAATTTTCAGGGACCTCTAATTATTCTAAATAATTACTCCATCTTTTCAATTCAAATATAGCTTCATCTAAACCATCCAATATTTGTAAGCGAATTACTTCATTTATTTTAGCCCATTTAATTATATATTCTCGGCATTCTTCTCTAAATTCTTCAATTCGTCTCCAACGTAGTTTGGCAGTAACCATTGTTAATATAATTTTTCTTAAGGCGAGAGAAGAAAGTTTTGGGTGTTTTTGATTTGAATTAGTTAGATCGGACATTTTTTAATAAATTATATTTTAAATCAGCTAAAATTGGTAATAAATAAGAAAATTTAAATATTTAGGACAAGCTTTTATTATTATTAGGAAGGATGCCGATTCGAATTCACAAAATTCATTGGATCGAAAATTAATTGGTAGGCGAAATCACGGGTCCCTAAAACCTAAAATCCAGTTTCCTGTCATCAGAATCTTTAAGTAAATAAATATGAATATACGGAAAGTTCATCGTTTCGAATTAATAGTTTTTTGTGCTTTGGTTAGAGTCCGTAAAATTATAAATCTGCTTTATTTTCTTGAATTATTACTTATAATTTTTCAACTCCGTTAGGGAGGGCAATTAATAGAGGAGATAATTAGTGAAGAAAAATTAATCATGAGGGATTTTTTTAGGTGGGGAAGAGTGTGCAGTAATTAGGATTTTCTAAATCTTTTATTAATTTACATATGATTTTAATAATTAATCTCTCTTAATAATAGGTATTATTAAAAAAATATAAAATAATAATAAAACAATAGAAAGGATTTCGTAATAAAATCACACGATTTTTCAATCTTTTCTCTCTTTTTTATTTTGATTTAGGAATGATTGAAGAACAAAGAAGGTATTTAATAGATAAAAATACTAAAAAAATTGTTTTTACAGCTGCTTTTTAAAAAGATGTTAGTAATTTAGTTAGCAGTTGGATATAAAAAATGGATTTAAAATTGTATAGTAAAAACAAAAAATAATCTGAGGGAACGGAAAAAGATTAGTTGGACTTTTAATAGAAAACTAGGTATATTAATAGTACATCCCTTCTATAAAGGAGAAATAAAGTTTGTTATTTTACGTATAAAATTAAATCATTTCGAAGAATTCAAGTGATTTTAAGCACAAACATTTTTTTATCATGGGGTAATAAAATATTTTTTTAATATTATCGAATAATGAAATGATTTTATCTTATCATGTCTTCAAATAGGGTTTTTCATGATATTAGTATTTTTCCCGGTTTATTTATATAAGAACATAGAATCTCTTCAAATCTCCTCTAGTTATCTTCCCGGTCTACATTTGTCCGCTTTCTGTGTCTTCGTTTTCTGTGTTTTTTAAAAACCTTTAATCTAGGCTTTCAAACATTCAAACTTTAAGAGATTCTAGGGTTCTTATGGATTTGTTCTCATTGATTATGGTGCTAGGAAACTTTGTATTTTCTTATTTATTCCGAATTTTGACTAAGAACCATATCGGATCTGGCCAGATCTGGTCGTTTTTTTAATTGAGAAAAAATCCAAAAATTGAAGGAAAAATCGAGGCTTTCTAGATCTAACAAAGAAAACGAAAAAAAATGTAGCAACAAAACATTTAATAAATTTATTTTATTAAATTTGACACTCTAAAATAAATTATTTTAAAAAAAGTTTCAAGGTAGATTTAAAAAGAAAGTAAAAAATAAAAAAAGAAAACGGCTGTCTTCATTTAGTGTCAAAAATCACAAGGGAGGGAATTTATTTTATTGTTGTAAGCATTCTAAAAAGAAAGATTAAAGAGATTTTATAAAGTAAAAATGAAAAATAAGTAGAGTTTAAAATTACAAAATAAATTTGCTAATAATACTTTAATCTTTACAATAAGAAATACAATTTTATTGAAACGAAGGTCTATTGGAACAGAGGTGTGCCGAAAAAATTTTAAAAAGCAAAAGACAAAATACATGAGATGAAACACTTAGAAAACGAAAATTCGGGGAAAGGTGAAAGACTAAAGGCGAAAGGCTAGATATGTCCAAGACCGAAAATTTTCCAAGACTTGAAATCAAAACCAAGACTACATCCCAAGCTCAAGAAAGAAAAATACCTAAGAAAAGTCTTGTGTCAAAACTCAAGACCAAGAGTCTCGGCATCTCTACGAAAGGCACACTCACGCATCAGAAGACTTAGATTAATTAAAAATGATTAATATATGTAGACGAAGAAATTAAATAAACGGCAATAAATGTTTGAGGATAAGAGTCCGTTGCTCTATAGTAAGGATTATTTAGAGTTATTGGATCAGTTGAGTGTCTTCCTTACAATAATAACCAATTAGATAATAATTAAATATTAAATAATTAAAAATTATATCAAAAAGATTTTATTAAAAGAAAAAATTAAAAAATATTTTTCTTTACATTTAACTGTGAAACAAAAAAAATTTTCTAAGTGGAGTAAAAAATAAACGAAAATATACAAGTTAAGCCTTGTGCAAACAGTACCTGTTTGTGTGTCCTTTATTTTTATATTTATTTTTTTACAATTAAAATTGTCAAGAGCTTAAAAAATAATCAAAGAAAACTGAATTATAATATTTTATTCAGTGGATGCAAAGCTAAACAATTAATATTTTTAATTTAAAAATAATACTATTAAAATAAATTTTAAAACAAATTTATTTTTAAAATGCAGTCGGAACTCATAATTGTGTTAGTTGTCACCAGAGATGGGTTGAGGAAAAAGCTAGGATAGCGATTCTGGGGGTGGCCGAAGTGTATTTTTTATTTACGGATTGCGGCTGCGGATTTTAAAATTAAATTGTGGATTGCGAGTTCGGGCAGAAAAAAGTCCAAGTTTAGGAGAGATGGGTTCGTGTAAGCTGATCCATCCATGTCTGACCCTAGGTATACCTCTCATATAAATTAACCTCTATATAAGGGCACACATGTTGTTAGGTCCAAAGGATATACTATAAATGAGTTTCGACTGTATATTCATCCATATCTTATGAACTATGTCAAAAACGTTCAAGAATATCAGGAGATTTATGAGTAGCTTTATTCCGCATGTAGATATGCATGTCACGAAATGTTTGATTTACTTGGATTGATACATTAATTAAACGAATACACTCATCCAACCGTCTTGCACCCTCAAGCATCCCCCATTTATTTTGTTGATATCCAAGTAACATTCTCGTGTATCTAGCAGACTCTTCATATAACAACTCTTTTCCATAGTGTGATAGACCTTCAATAACTTAATAAAGAATTAGGTATGGCTTTTAAATTTATTATAAATCTACATGGATGTGAAAATATAATAGCCATTAAAAGTGCATATTCCTCTTTGTATAGTGCCGCTTTTTTAAAGGGAATCACAGACTTGGTAAATATTTGATCAGCCATGGTAATCAAACTGTTTATTAAGAAAGAAAAATATTAGAATATAGGTAGGAGGTATAATCAAATGGATAGGAGTATTTGAGCCGGCAAAGGTCAATGAGGGGTAACTTAATAAGGGGTATCTTAAAGGGTATCGGTTAGACAGCTCCCTCATCTAACCGTTAACGAACATATCTTAAATTAAGGTTTATTTATCATTGACTGAGGCAAGTTTGACTGAAATAAGGAAAGTCTTACTTAAAATCCTGCACAAAATCTTTATTTTTAAGTAGACCAAGGACAGGCATAACGCAATCTTTACGTGCCCAGGTATCTACGCCCAGCTCACAAGGTATAAATGAACTTGCAAAGCATAGGAATGGGCCTGCTACGTGTCGGCAAAGTGCTATCTACAAATAAAGAATTATTTTGTCTGGATTCATCGGCCGACCTTATCAGCTATAGATAACTTATCAAAGAAAGGCATAGATCTTGCAATAGCAACACATATGAGTTGATCAACAAGAACACATTTATATGTCCTCTTATTAAATAGTCCGTCACCTTGAGTGTCCAACTCCAGGCTAAGCATTTCTTCTCGAGAAATTGGAGGAGGATTTGGCTTAAAAACGACGAATATTTTTAATATTTAGTACAAATTTTACCGAAAACATTTCAATATAATCGAAAATATTAATCCCGGAAAGTATAATATCCTCAAAATAAATCAAGCCACTGAGCAGATTCTCGTTTACATCATTAAAGGCATGCATAATTCTTTTCTGATATTCACCCATTTTTATAAGTAAATTAACTTGTTTGTGTTCATTAACAGATTTCTCGACAATCATAGCACTAATCTAAAATTATAATTTGATAAATTTTATCCAACTTCAGTCAGATCTAGCTTAGAGTATCTCTTGAGACCAAAAAATATTTTTATCATACCCCTTATATTAACCGATATCCATTCAAATCCTGTATGTATTTCCCCTAATCCCCTTATATCTCTCAAAATCTCTTGATACCCTCGATATCTATTACAGATATTTTTCTGTAGAAATCGCGGAATCCCATGATAATCTACAATGTCAAACATAGCTAATCTACCTTTTGGTCTTCCAAAATTTTATTATATTTCAACTCTTGTCTGGATGAATATTTTTTAGAGCACACTCTCGAAAAGCACTCTGAACTCATATTTGTTTGTTGCTGTCTTTTCGGTGGAACTTTTTCTATTAGATTTGATCTCTTTGATGAATTTTCTGTTTTATAGCAAGCTCCTGAAATCTCAGGAGCTTCTTCTATTTCTTTCATTCCAACAGAAAGACATTTATTGAGATGACACTTCTCACAGTCTATCAACCTTAAAGGAGTCTTGAATCGTGTTGGGAAACATTTGCATTCAAATTTGATTCCTTTATTTTTGAGATGGATCCTTTTATAAATTTGAATGTTAAATCATTTAAAAACATTTTTAAAACTTGAAAAATGCCGCACAAACTTGACAGCAATCAACATTATATTGATAAGAAACTTTAAAATTAGAACCGCATATTTGACAATTATTAGCTAAGTTTATTTTCATTTTAATAAAAATAATTCTAAAATTTTTATAAATTAATCCCTTTCTAGCGTAATTAAATACTTCTAAATACTTCTAAAATTTTTATAAATTATATCTTTGCAAGCGTACTTAATAATTCTCAAGAGCCGGTCAGTGGCCTTCTCCTTTCGTCTCCCATAAAAGAGTTAGTGACTACAAACTCTTATTTATACCAGTTTAACGTTATTTTAGATAAGTACCCATGGTAACCGGAAACGGCACAAATACCGCTGACCCTCACCCGGTCACCAACAAAATTGAAAAAAGTTAACTTAAATTGAAAACATTAAATTTGGAAATATGAATGAATTTAGACTGGGGCTCCGATTCGTATTTTATTTGAAAGTACAGTACTTTAAAATCAACCTCCGTACTTACGAAATTGAATTTGTACATTATTGAAAGTATGTACTTTAAAATCAACATTTTGAAAAAAATTGAAGAAATCTATCTTAAGGACCTCCAAAATTCTCTTTTATGTCGCCATAGGCGCCACAAAAAAGCGCATAGAAATGCACAAATTGCTCAGTGGAAACAAGAAATTATTAGAAAAGATTAATTTAGGAGAGAAATATAAAAGATTTGAGCACGAATAAATATTTTCTAATTTAATTTGGAGTGTACTTTAAATTTGGAAAATTTGTCCCTATGTCCTTTAAAATCGAGATTTTGTACTCTAGATTGGAATTTTGTCGATCGGAGCCTTGGGTTAGACTATCACAAAAACAGATAAATTAACGAAAGGCGAAACTTTAATCGAAACTGGCACGCTCATGTTTATGATAAAATAAGTCAGTTTTACTGATCTATTTTTCAATTAAGGTCTATTATCTCAACACAATCCTGGAAAATTATTTTAAATCTAACAGGGAATTGAATTTAATAATTAATCAAATTAAATTTATAAAATATGAAAATGCTTAAATTATATAGTCGATATAATTTTAAAACTAAATAAATGGAAGGATTTATAAATTTCCATAGTACATTTTTATTCGATTCCATAAATTTTTAAATAAAATGCTAAATACACAAATAATACTAAATTATATATTCGAGAGTAACTAAAAATCCACGTTAGTACACAATGTGATTAAAATTTGTGAAACAATTTAGTTAACAAATTTCGTTTACAAGTGATGTTTGAGTATTTTTGGGAGTAGTTTGAAATTTTATTTTAAATAATTTAAAATTATTTTACATGGAAAGCAGGTGTGGTGGCTAAAATTCGCGCTATTGCGAATTGCGGTTGCGTAAACTTTTGTGTTTCTTGACTTGCTGATTGCGGATTACGTTTGTGGATTTTAAAATTAAAAGTGTTGTGGAAAATATTGAGTAATTTCTTTCATTTGCGTACAGTCCAGGGATGGATCGGGTTACTCGAACCCGTCTTTTTTCCTACGCTAAACCTAACCACTAAACTCGACCTGATTTTTGTAGAAAGGGATAAAAAGAATAAACGCTTCTAATTACGTAAGATATGGCTTATTTTCGCCTTTTTTAGAATTTACTTTCTTTTTAGATTTTTATTCGTGATAAAATAACTGATCGAGGCAAAGAAAAAATTTTTATGATAATCAAAGAATTTTGTGTTATTGAACTTTCTGGGTGTGATCATCCTTTATATTCACGATATTGTCTATTATATGAATATCGTGACTGCAGATATTTTCGTTGGAAATCTACTACAACGTCAAGGAATAATTCTAATCTAAACAAAGACAGAATTGAGGTAAATTTATATTTCTAATGGGAAAATTTTTAGGTTATTAATAGACTATTTTAATTTTAACCTTGAATCTCATCTTCTCCCTTTTCTCTCTCTAATTTTCACGTGTCAGCTGATTGTAATTTTGATGTATTAAATTTTTGCTAAGGAAAAAAGTGAAAATGGCATTTTCAATTAATCTTAATTTTTATAGATAGACTTTCTTGAAGATAAGTTTTTCCAAATACTTACAAAATGTTATTAAATTCTTTCTTCGCGGAAAATTAGAGATTTTTTGGCAATTTGGGGATAAAACAATTGTCGATCAGATGGGGAACGTCATGAATATATTGGAAAGAATAAGATTGAGATGTTTGTTTTCATGCTATTTGTACGATTGTCTTACGGACATATTTTGCGGACTAGAGCCCGCAATTTCGTACCGTACCGTATTCCGTACCGTACTTCCGTATACTACCGATACCGATAAGCTTAACAAAAGTTGATAAATCTATCTTTTTTCCGTGACTGTATATCAACTTCTACAAGTGAGTTTCAACTGTCTAATCTTATACTATTGACATTTTTTGATTAAAAAAATATTTTATCAAAGTGAATTATTCAAATAACGTTCAATAAGATCATTAGATTTATGTTGAGTTATATCACGTAGATGGATATGCATTTCACGAATTGCTTGATCTATTTGGAAAGATATATTTATTAAACTAAAGCATTCATCTAGTCTTCCTGCACCCTCAATTACTCCTAATTTATTTTGTAGATATTTAAGTAACATTCTCGTGTATCTAGCAGACTCTTCGTATAACAAGTCTCTTCCATAATGTGATAGACCTTCGATACCTTAATAAAGAATTTTTTATGGTCTTTTATGCTTATTATCAATTTTACTTGGGTGTGAAAACATAATAGCCATTAATAGGGCATATTCTTCTTTGCATAGTGCCACTTTTTTAAAGGGAATTACAGACTTTGTAAATATTCGATCAGCCAGGATAAACAATCTGTTTAATAAAAAATATAAAGGATAGGTATTTAAATTTAATACAGTAATACATCACTATGAGATACCCTTTTGGATAAAATTGCATATTATAGTAATGAGGGGCAGTGCCGAGTATTGGGAATTTGTTGACTCCTACACAGACATTTTCAAACCTTGGCTCCGTCTCCGTGGTTTTCAAATTCCTGGCTCCGGATCCGGCTCACGGAGCTATAACCAGAGCTGATTGTGGCATTGGCTTTCTAACATTTTAAACATGTTTTTCGTTTGTTAACTAATATATTTTATTTTTTGTGATTTTGCCCTATTTATGCCACATATATGTAGCATAGGATGTATCTCATAGTGAGGCTGGCTTTAGCAACAATCGTACTTATGATCCTGCATAAACTCATTGTTTTTAAGAAGACCAAGAGCAGGCATAACACAATCTTTACGTGTCCAAGTATCTACTCCCAGCTCACACGGTATAAATGAACTTGCAAAGCATAGGAATGGGCCTGATACGTGTCGACAAAGTGCAATCTACAGATAAAGAATATTAAAATCAATGGCTTAAAAACCAACGACCTTATCAGCTATAGATAATTTATCAAAAAAAGGCAAAGATCTTGCAATAGCAACACATAAAAGATGATGAACAATCACACACTTATAAGTCCTCTTGTTAAATATCCCTTCCCTTTCATTGTCCAATTCCCAGCTAAGCATTTCTTCTCGAGAAATTGGCCGAGGATTTGGCTAAAAGTGATCGAAATAATTTTTTGTAAATTCTAATACTAAATTACCGAAAACATTTCAATGTGTTCAAAAATATTAACCCCTGAGAGTATAATATTTTCAAAATAAATTGGGCCATAAAGAAAAGAGTCGTTCATATCAGTAAAAGCATGCATTATCTTTTCCTTATTTTTAGTGATTTTTAGGAGGAAATTTAGTTGATTATGCTCATTAGCAGATTTATTTACAATCGTGCCAACAATCTGAAGAATTATAATTTTTAAAATTGTTCCTACTACAGTTAGATTAAGCTACTTAATAGAGCCCGGCCTAATATTTTTTCGATATTTTTCGATATCGACCCCTCCGACCGGGTTCTAATCCTTAATACAAGAGTTAGCATATGCAAGAAATCTGACGAATCACTTCGATGATTTTTAGTGGATTTTGAGCATTTTTGTGCAGTTTGAAAAATAAAGCCATACCCACTTCTAGTTAATAATCTAATCCTAAAACTCATTTTAGATTAGGTATACCTAGTATTGGGTGTAGAAAATTACTTGTAATGTCAAAAATCGACAACCTTTTCATCTTCCCAACTTTCAGTTTTTATTAATTTTTGTCTAAACGGGTCATTATCAGAAAACAGTTCCGAAAAGTATTCAGATTCTTTATTTACAACTTGTTGTCTATTCAATAGACCTCTTGAATCTTCTTTAGGGCATACTTCAGACATCAAGTTCGTATTTATCTGTTGTTGTCCAGTAGATGAACCTTCTCTCTTAGGGCTAACACCTAGTTCTTTGATTCCAACAGATAGGCATTTATTAAGATGACATTTTTCACAGTCTATCAACCTTAGAGGTGTTTTGAATCGTGTTGGGTAACATTTGCATTCAAATTTAATTCCTTTATTTTTGAAATGGATTCTTTTTTAAATTTAAATTTTAAATTTATTCAAAAACACTTTTAAAACTTGAAAAATGCCGCACAAACTCTGCAACAATCAACATTATATTGATGAGAAACTTTCACAACAGAACCGCATATTTGACAATTATTAGCTAAATTTCTTTTCATTTTAATACTATTTCTGAAAATTTTTTTGAAAATTAATCCCTTTCAAACGTAATTAAATTTTAGATACCCCTAGTGTCTATCTGGATTGACTCTTAGTGCTCCTAAATAGGTACATATATTTCTTGCAATATTCGTCTACTATATCAATATGTTTGATGGGTGGGATTCTCTCTCAAAAGCTGGATTAAAAATAGAAATCCACACTGAATTAGAACAGTAGTGGCACAGAAAATGATCCTTGTACGGGATTTTATGGGATGCTCTCCCAAATCACATATTTCAAGTGGCGTTTGGCGAAAAAAATCCTCCGAATATTTAGTACAGTCGGACGAGTTTCAATAATACAGATCATGGAGCTGCATTATAAGAATTATACCATATTTATTCACATAGGATGATAATTTCTCTAGACAGTTCAAAGGCAATGAATTAGGGGTCTATAAACTCTTCCCTCTGTATTAGAACCTCACCAACTAATACGACCCAAGCCCGAAGGATAGTTGAACTTGGCATAATTTTATGAAATCGGGTAAATTAAATTGAAGAGAAATTATAAATTTAATAATTAATAAAATGTTTAAATGATTAACAATGCGAATTGATAATAGAATTTATATATAGAGTCGATATAAGATTTTAAAATAATAAAAAATTTAATTTTAAGCTAAATAAAATGGAAAAATTCATTAATTTGCTTAGTTCAATTTTACTCGTTTTCTAAACTTTTTTAATTTCTAAATTGCTAAATACGCACACATTAATGCTAAAATTTACTTCGAGAAGGACTAAAAAATCCACGTTGGTACATTATTAGATTAAAATATATTTAAACGAATCTGTTCAATGGATTTTTAGCGAATCTTGAGCTAATTTTGTGTGTAGTTGGAAATTTTTGTTTTAGGATTGAATTTGAATTTTGATTATTTTAAAATTATATTTTTTAGAAACTTTTTTTATTTACGGTTTATTGGCAGTATGGATCTTAAATTAATCTAAATATTTTTAGTTTAGAAAAGCTAAAAATTCTAAAAAATCATACCCCTACCCCCAAATAAGGTTTTTACAATGATTTTAGCTCTCAAATTTACATTATATATTGAGAGCTGTGCACAAGTTATTTGTGTAGTGAAACTGTAGGGTTGACAGGACATTCACAATAAGGTTGTCGAAAGGGTCGAAAGGTGGGAACTCGTCGGATATCTGGATTCGATATCCAAACCGAAATTTCCAAATATCCGGTCTTTTTTCTGATCTAGATATCCGGATTCGACCACCATACTTCACAGATCCTGTCAGTTAGTAATGCCAGGGTCTGGGAAATCCTCGGTACCCGGAATTTGGATACACGGAACTTTTCGTTTCGTATATACGCAACTGCCAACGCTACAAATAAGTCAGCTCCAATTTATTTAAATTTTTAAAATAATTTTAATACTGATCATAATTTTTACAACATTTAATATCATCAATTAAAAATCATATTCGTCTTAATAATTTTTTAAGTTATTCTCATTCGTTCATGTCCATTGCTTTATTTCTTTCCGCCAAACTTAAAATAATTTTATAAAAATGTTATTATAACTTTACAGACGACACAATAATCTAGGCACTGTGCGGGAAGCACCTTCTATTTAAACAACCTCATTATAAGGTAAAATTTTCCTCGCATGTTTGTATCTTATAGTTATGTCCAAGAATAGACCAAATCTTATTTAATAAAATACCTACACGACAAGCTCGTTGACACTCAGCATAGCTATAAAAACGATTGGCATTACCTCCACAACCGCCGTAAATGAAGCTCTTTAAATATAATTTAATATTTAAATATTATTTTAAAATTACCTTGCAGTAACCATTGTCGTACCACCATCGTTGGAAACTTCCTCTACAATTTCCAACAGATTTGGGTAAATAACAGTTCTAATTTTAATTTTTAACTTGATTCTATTGTTATTGTTGAACCTAACTTTAAGGTAGGGACAAAGTTGGAGAAAAATAGCCCATTATAATAAGAAGTATTTTAAATATATTTGAGGATAACTTAAATATCTATAGCTTATCTAGTATTTGGTTATATTATATCGAGCTCTGACAAGTTAAGTGAATCTTAAATTAGAGAACGAACTGGGAGTGTCGTACGAGAATCAAAATCTCGATTCTCGATCTCTATAACAGAAATTTTCGATCGAGATCTCGTCTCGGTTCGGTCTCTATCTTAAATAAAGATTTTTTAGGGGTATTGGCTAGGCCCTCCACCTAGTATTGGCTAGGCCCTCCACCTAGTATTTAAAATTTTATCTTAAACATATGGTTATATATTATTAGGTGTATCTCATAGCGAGGTCCAACTCTATTAATTTAAAATTATGTACTTGTGGTGTTTGGAAGTTATGTACAGTTGTTAATAAAATAGTTAAAAATAAAAGAATAATTAAATTGCTATTCATTTTACTTAAGTAAATGACAAAAAAAGATTTAAATTTTTAAATTAAAAAATTTATTTTGAATAAAATTATTAAAAATATCAACTATTTATATGTACTAATTTGATTTTTATTCGTTAATTTGCTAAAGTTCGGCAAACAAAAATAAATTTTCTTTTATTCGCTTAGTTGAAGGTTATTTAATTAATAAATTTAGCTAATAATTTCGAGGAAATAATTTTAATATTTCAAAAAACTATTTTTAAATTCCCATCTTTGATGTTTTACGCAATTAATTATCTATTTAGGGAAATAATTATTTAATTTTTCATTCAAAACTATTTAATTTATTTATTCACTGAAAAGGACCTTATAGAAGGTCACTTACATTCAGACAGAAATTGTGAAACAATTGTAAAACAAAGCTGGGAGAATGTGGACGCTTGTAAGGTATGGAGGGATTAAAGTGAATATAGAAGCATGCGGTCGTGATATCGAGCAATTTTTATACATTAAATAAAAAAACAAACGGCTCCCGGTTTGACTGACACTCGCAAATAATGAAGGAACGGATTAATAGAGGTAACTATTTTTCAAACCCAAACGGATATGATAGATATGCAATTGATCACGGATATATCTGGATATTAAAATTCATCTACATGAGCAAGAAAAGAACAAGAGTTAAAAAATTTTATTCAGATAATTAATTAATAAATTTATGATAATTTAATTTATTTATATAATTCATGTCAAATTTGTCACTTCTTAAAGCCATTTTCCAATGTTTTATTAACCAAATCTAAAAATTAATTTGAAATTTATTATAGTCGGACTCATTAATATACTAAGATACCCACTAAGCCTAAAAAAGTATGTATTAATCTTTTAATGAAGCGTATCTTGAATAGAGGAGGAATGCTTAAGCAGGAAGCTTAAGCACTCCATGCCAACCGAACTTTAGCAACGTCTATTAAATAGAGGTGTATCCAATATTGAGTTTACTATAGTAATGTAGTATAGTATTTAATTAGGTTTGAATTAGAGACCGGAATTAAACGAGATCTCTCGCTTACCATCTCTTCTTCGAGTTATCGATCTCGATTTGTTAAGACTCTCCAGTCGTGTCTGAATTACCTGTTATTGTTGAAAATTAATATAATAAGGATCATATGCTCCTTCATAAATATTTTTCTTATTCATTTTGGGTAAGTTAAATACATATTTAGACAAATCGTATGGAAGTGCTTTAGGATCTTTGGGAATTGGCAATTTCATGTTATTATCAATAGCATATTGAACATATGGAAGATTTTTTTGTTGAATATTTAACTATTTAAATAAATTAAGAAAATTAGTTTTAATAAAATCTCGCGTTCGAGGTTTTTAGGCTGGTTAGGAGAAAAGTGTCCCTCCCACCACCCCTCCTCAACCTAAAGGCTGCTTATATTAAGGGTTTCGCCCTGAAAACCAGGCTTGGGTTAAATCTAAAAAGTCATCAGACATATAAGGCCAAAAGTTAACCCAGACTCCGAAACCCGACATGACCTTCCCGGCAAACCCCGATCCCCGACACTTCCGACCCCGAAGGCAACCCTAATTAATAAAATTTACATATTCCGGTGAAACATTTTTCTTTTTACCATAAATGTCGTCATCGAATGGTTGATTTGATAAAAAATGATTTTTAATTGCATATTTTAACTAAATAAATTTTAAAAATTGAGGTTTTCTAAGTAAATTTACATATTCCGAGGAACTATTTTTGCGTTTACCAGCATTTGAAGAAGAGGGCATAAATTGGTGTAACACCTTGTTTTCAGTTCCATATGGAATATTATTTTGTTGAAAATTAAACTGTAAATAGGTTTTAGATTAGTCTTGGATCTCGCTTATTATCGCTAATTAAATTAAATTTACATTTTCGGAGGAAATATTTTTGTGCTGAGCAGCATTTGAAGAAGAGGGCATAAATTGGTGTAACAAATTGTTAGTATTTCCATATGGAATATTTTTTTGTTGAAAATTTAGCTAAAAATAGAAATATTTATATATTAGTCACGATCAAGCTTATATAATAAATAAATAATAACTCCTCAAGATTATTGAAAATTTTGAGACCGGACGAGTTCTCGAACAAAAATTTGGTTATAAATATATTTTCGTGATAATATCTTGATTCTCATACGAAACTCCCAGTTAGCTCGGCTCTAATTATAAATACGAACTGACTGAAATAAAAAAATATTCTGCCTTCAAGTTAATTATTTGCAATTTGAATAGCAAATTTTCTCGTCTAATTACTTTATCTTAGATAAATACTCCCTCTTTTCAAAACTCGAACAATTGGCTTAATTATGTATCCCTTCAAGAGAGAAATTAGCACCACAGGAGTGACAATAATAATTACCCAGGATAATTATTCTAGAAAATATGGTACTCAATAATTTTAAAATATTTTCTTTATTTAAATTTACAATTTCGGAGGGATGACGGGCATTTGAAAAAGAGGCATTAAATTGTCGATGGGATAACAAATGATTTATAATTGTCAATTTTAACTGAATAAAATTTAAAATTATTCATTTTTAATAAATTTCTGAAAAATTAACAAGATCCGAAGTATGATTCCTCTGTTGCCCAGCATTTGAAGAGGGGGCTCCTAATTGTTGATTAGTTAACGAATTGTTTTTAGTAGCGGACTGATCATGCAGAATATTTTTTCCTCGAATATTTGACTAAATAATTAAATAATATTTTTTATTTTTAACAAATTTTACAGCTTCAGAGGAAACATTTTTTTGTTGCTCATTATCAGCATTTGAAGAAGATTGAAGATTTAATTGTTGATTGGATAAAAAAAGAAGAAATAATTAAAATTTTGATAACATAGAGTGGATAAAATCTTAGCTGGCGAACCCTATCAGACTACACGAAACTACAACCAAATTTGAATCGAAATATAATCATTTGAAAAACCAAAAATCGAAAAAAAATTTGATTCAAATAACAAGGTTACACGCTGAGATTAGAGATCGGAATTTTGAAAAAACCGGGATCGGGAAACAGGAAATTGTAGCAGAAATACAACAGGGAAAAAAGATCGGGAAACGCGACCGAGTCCGATCCCTTCCGGTCTCTCGCATGCATGTGTGCCATGGCGTTTTTGGCCGATTTTGGTGTTTTAGCGTTTTTTTCAGCCTCAAAAACAAATTGGTAATTTTATCATAAGTAGAGCCCGGACCGAAACGAGATCTCAATAGAAAATCGCGGTTATCGAGATCATGATTTTTGAGATATCGCTCTCGATCCTCATACGGCCCTCCCAGTCAGGGCTTTAATAATAAAGGGCTTGAATGTATTTTAAAAATAAAATACCATGTTTGCTTGTATTTTGCTTTTTATTTTGCTAAAAAATTAAACAATTTATTTTTTAAATAAAAAAGACCTCAGGAATCTCAGAATCCGTTGCCTTCCTTTTCGCCAATTCGACAAAATAAAAATTTAAAATAAATAAAAAAATAATTAAATTAAAATAAATTTTCATTTTTAAAATTTTTTAAAAAATTTTAACTAATTAATGAGCAATCTAAATCAAAAATCAGTCTATATAAATGCCCTTTTTCCTTCCTTTGAAGTCCTAAAAATGCCCTTTATCCTTCCTTTGAAGTGCTAATACATGCATGCACTTTACAAAAAAAGACAATTAGGCGGAAATGAATTTTGAAATTAATTTAAAATAAAAATTCAAAATTGTGAGAAAAATAAATTTTTATTTAATTTTAAATTTCCAAATGATTAAGAAAACAAGGAAATCATTTTTAAAAATAAAAGTTAAAAGTGCGAATGGACTTTCGGCTAAAAAGGAGGATGTAAGTCTATTTGTTAATTTAAAATAAATTTGCACTAAGCCCGGAAATTAATTTCAAAATTAATTTCAAATTTAATTTCAAATTTAATTAATTTAAAAAAATAAAATATTATTAGTTAAGAATACAAGATAAATTATATTAACAAAAATTTCTTCACTAATTATTTAATCTTTTAACTTCTTTTATTGAAAAGTGTCTAATCTCGTCCTAAAATCCTTGCTAGAAAGGACACATTCTCTATCGAATGAGCCCGGTTTCGAATGTTTTAGTCGGACACCTCGCAACCTCTCCTTGTTAAATTAGGGGTTTCTTCATAATCAAAATGAGGGTATCAACCCGACACTTCTAGGCCGCGAGTCGGGGATCACCGATTGATCAGGGATTAATGATTACCAAAAAATCGTCTGTATTTATGAGGTTTGGATGCTATATTAATCTAAATAATTAATAAATAACGACCCTCTATATGCTCGAATAATTAACATCACTCAAATAGTAAGTCCCTCTGGCCAGGGTTTAAAATAATAATTCCCCAAGGTATATTATATATACGGTAATTTTTATCTTATAATGGGGGTCTTTTGAAGATAAAATAATCATTGTTTTACTACATATTATTTTAAATTATTTTTATAATTATTTTAGTTGAAAATAAAAATATATTTAATTAATAATTTAATAAATTTTTTCGATTATATCTGGATTTCATTCGTTTAGATTAAAGAAAGAATTAAAATAATCAAGCAAAATAGCGCTATAATCTTGATATTTGACAGAATGCCATATGCCGAGTTACAATAATCAGTATCACACTCATAACAGGTACATACATCCACCATGCGATTTACAATGTTGAATATCTCAACGAAATCACAATCCGCACATGTTTTTATGAAGCCATCTAAATTTTTAAACAAATTTATTTAAAAGATTTTGATGATTCAACGAGCATGGGTAATTTCTTCATATCCCCCCCCCCATATTTGTGTCTCTGATTTAAGTTTTTAAAAAAAATTTACATTTTCCACAATCATTTTTAATGCAATAATCACCATAAGTTTTTTCAAAAGGATTTCTAGTATTGCACGTATCTGTCACAGATAATGTACGAGTTCCATTTTTATAAGTAAAATCTACTTTGTCAAAACATTTGACTGCGTCTGTTAAAAATTTAATATTTTCTTCTAAATTCTTAAAAATTTACGTCCAAATTTAAAGCTCATGAATAAGAAAAGAGCTAAAATATTAATTAATAATAATCCCATTTTTTAATTTAAAATTAATAATTTAGTTAAAAAAATTTTATTGAAAAATATATGAATGATTTAAATTATAGATAGGACGTTTTTAATAGGAAAAATATTTTTTGATGAATAATATTTTTTAAATTATAGTTGATTTTAATAGATTACTCATTAAAAAGTAAAATTTAATAAATTAATCAACACTTAATTTTTTTAGTTTTATTAATTATTTTTTGGAAGTGTAGTTTTAATGAAAGGGTACTTTTAATAACACCTATTATTAATAAAAATAGTAGAAGATATGCTCGGCATTTCTGACAAATCTATAAGATTATTCCTATTGCGTGGAAATACAACTAAAATTTGATATAAATTTGAAACTCGGAACCTTAAAAAACAGAAAAAAATTTAAGTCGTTTTATCATTCATAACAAACCTTAAACTGTCTCAGAATTTAGTTTACCTGAATATTATATTTTTCAATTCCACTGAATGAGAGAAAATTATACTCTCTCCGGAAATGAGAGAAAATTTTACTCTAGGGAGTTCGAACTATTGTTCAAAATTTTTCCAAGCACCTTCGACTTTCTGTCTATTATACTCATATAAATTACTTTGATCTTTAAATTTTTTATTAAAAAGTAAATTTTTATTCAAAAAATATGAAATTTTTAAGATTTAAATAGCAAAATATTTATAATCATTTTCTACAATCATTTTTATCTTCGAAATATTTTCATTATCATTCATTTAAGAGATAGATGGAATAATACAAGCTAAAATAGTTTAAAAATTTATTAATTAAAATTCAAATTTGATGTGTTATTTTTTAACTCTTTTCATTATAAGTTCTATGTAATGTTGGTCCAAGATATTTCTACATATGAAAAAACAATTAGAACGAGTCGGTGGGTGAGTAACTGGTGATAATAATAATAGTAACTAATAGTGTTCAACTGGGTAATCGTTTCAGATCAGAAGGGTCACGAGAAAACACGTACATTTTCTACTCGAAACCCAACTTTTTTACTGTTTCAAATCTTGTTCGGTTATGGTTTACAATGAAGCGGAACAGTTATCGGGATTAATCTCAAATTTTCAAAGTTATAAAATCGAGATAACAAAAATTATTTACCATTAATTATCATGATAGTCAAGCAAAATAAAGCTATAATCTTCATATTTGACAGAACACCAAAGGCCGAGTTACAATAATCAGTATCACACTCATAACAAGTACAATCACCCTTTTTAAATTTAATTAACAGGGCAGTAAGTTTAATAATTGCACAAACATTACAACCTTTCCAATATCCATCTAAAATTTTGAATAAGATTTAGTTCAAAGTTTTAAGAATGATATTCTGTAGGCCATCCAAGACTCTTGAACTTTAGACTTGATAAAAACTTTTCTTGAGGATTTTCGGTCTTGAGCTTGGGGTAAAGACTTGGTCTAAACTTTTTCGAATTCCTTGTTTTATTTCCAAATATGGTCTCCTGGCCTCCCAAAATTCGCTGGAAAAGTAAGAATCTTGAGCAGGCGAATTACTTGCAGCTGCAATCCGCAACACGTAATTTTAATTTTAAAATCCGCAAACGCAATCCGCAAGTAAAAAAAACACGCAAGTTCACGCAATCCGCAATTGCGATCACACCTGGTCTTAAGGTCTTATCTTGATTA